TAAATTTTTGCCATCATCATTTTGATTTTCATGTTCACCATTAATGCAAAATGAAAACATTTTACTGTTTAGCCTTGCATTCAGCTTCAAGAGTTTTCCTTCTCACAGCAACAGTGATTGTGTTTCTTCCAGCAGATGGCAGAACCAGGCAGGACTGTGAAGGTGTGTGGACTGCCCTCAGACATCGAGGATAACACACTGAAAGACAAGCTACTGATTTACTTCCTTAGAAAAAGAAATGGAGGAGGGGAAGTAGACTCTGTCACCTTCCTCAAGGCAACGCCTCTGGCTGCTCTCATCACCTTCGAGGACAGCGGAGGTCAGTACGTCTCCTCATCTGCTGTGTAGATCAGAGGGATTACTGTCTGAATAACTAAATGTTCTGTGTCAGCAAAAATACTGTTCATTAGTTACATATTATACTGACTGTATTAACACTAAACAACTGTAAACCAACCAAAGATGGCATTCATTTACAAAGTAATAGAAAGGTACTACACTGTCTGCTGCCACCAGTGATTTACACTAAACTGGAATGTTGGCATTGAAGTCAATGGAGTGGCCAGTTGTAGAAACACTTAGTCAGGATGCTTCACAGACTGTGATTGATTTCTCTCTGATGACCCCTCTCGCACAGTGGCACAGAGAGTTATTCACCACAGGCTACACGTTCTGGATGTTGATGGGAAGAAGTATAAGCTCACGGTAACTGAGCATTGTGAAGATTTCGACCCAGATCAGGTAGATTTAGCTGCCGCTCTGCACAATTTCAACAGATACAGTGTAAAATTATTAGTAATTAATTTGTTTTTCTATTTTCTTTTTCTCATCATCATAGGTCGTCTTAAGCTTATCAGCAACAATTGACTACAGCAAGCTTCCAGGGGGAATCATGGCATTGACGAGCCTTCTTCAGAGCCACCACGATGTCCAGATCAACTATACTGCTACTGAGAAATGCTCTACAATATTTGGCTCTTACTCCACAGTACAGGCAGTTTTGGCACAACTACTGGGCCATCCTGGAGGCTCAAAGTCAGCAGAAAACTCAAAAGACTTGAGTCAGCCTACTTCCAGTGGTTTCCGGTCTGTTCAAAAAGCACAGAAGCATTATACACAGGAGTCAGAAGATCAGAGCAGAAAAGCCAACAAGCAAAGAGACAACAAAGAAAAAATTCACATTGACAGGCCAACTGACAACTACAGTTTAAGTTCAGAAAGAGACCTGACACCTGGTGGTTACACCTGGGAGGACACTGGTCAGGCAGATGGAGCTGCTTTGCAGCCTTCTACAACCTCGGCGGATGATTTCTCACTAATTATGGATGGAGACATGTTTCAGTACCTGCAGAAACACTGCCGGAAGGAATACCAGCATATCCTGAAGCAGTATGGGGTTGAAGTGGTGGATGTAACAAGTCAGGGTTTGACCACTCTGTTTCTGCATGTTACAGCAGCAGTTGGGGAGGATGGTCTAGAGGAGGAGCGCTTGAAGATAGCCAGAAAGGCTATAAGTCAGCTTCATGAGGACATTGAGGCCAAAATCCGTCGATCCCAGCTGCCCAAAGCTATCCTGCACCCCAGTGGAGGCCTGCAAAGGGCAATTGAGAACTTAAGTGTCAGACTTCCCAAACTTATTCTGAATGAAGATGAAAAAAATATTTATATTATTGGAAGCAGTAGTGATGTGTCAGAGGCCAAGCAGTTTCTTCTCCTGGACAATGTTAACCAGCGAGATAAAAAGGAAGATGTGGCTAGTCTCCTGAGATTTCCCTCATATGGTTCAAGTTTATACCCTCAGACTGATGAGGAGAGATTCACTCTCCCCACACCCTCCACTGTAGCATCGGTGGATGATAAGCTAGATGAAATGCTGAAGTCAGAGGAAGATGAACGAAGAGCTGAAGGAGCCAGAAGGTATAAACTAGCTGCTCGGTTTAAGGATTCTGGGCTAGCTGCATTAAGCAGTCGACCAGCTGACTTCACTTTACGAACAAACTCATCTCCCAGCAGGCAAACACGCCAAGGGCCAATGTTAGGGTATGATGTACTCTCAGAAACAGCAGGGACTTCTGGTGAGGCAGTTTCCAGAGCAGTACCCCAAAACACAGGAGGAGACATATTGTTCAAGACTGGATCTAGTTTGGCATCTTCCTCGCTTCAAAATAGAACCTCTTTGAATCCAGATTTAATAGATGCTCGACCTAAGAATTCATCATCCCCTTTTAGTGGTACACAGTTCAGTTTGTCAGGAAGTCCTGCACCTCAGTCTGCTGGATCCGGATCCACCTTGAAGCGTGCCAGTAGTTTCTCAGGAACGCCTCAGCAGAAGGCTCAAGTTATGAGTCCGAAAAGTCAAGAAGATAGCAGCAAGTCCACAGTCAGAGCCAGGGGCAGGTCTTCTAGCTTCAGTACCCAAACAGGAAGGGACAAGCAGGAAGTCTATACTGCCGATCTTACAGTATCCAGGATAATGTGGAAACATATAAAAGAAGCATACAGCTACCGAGTGGAAGACCTAGCTTCTGATGTCCAGTTAAAAGACAGCAGCTTAGGTAGTCATGAGCTGACTGTAACCATAAGAGGAGCAAACTCATCCAAAGTGACTTCATGTCATCTAGGTTTGCAGAAGCTGGTTGACTCAGTTAGTTCAGACTTCTCTGTGCAGGAGTTGTCCTTGTCTGAACTGGGTATCACTGACAAAGCAGATGAAACCTTACAAGCTTGTTGTTCTGAAGTGCGGAGCCGTTTTAAGAAGGTTACTATCCAGATATTAGCCAAGAGCTTATATCTTCTTGGTCCAGGGCAGTTGTGTTCCCAGGTAGGTGCTACCCTGCGGGAAGTATTTTCTGGAGACTCGGCTCAAATACCTGACAAATACCAATATTCCCCAACTTCTTTTCAAATGAATGAAGATAAAAGCACTAGCTTGCACTTTAACAGTAACTCTCAGGTGATTAGAGAGAGCCAACCAGGCAACGCTGATGGTACAAGTAGGAGTCGGGAATGGAGGACAACCTACAGAAGTGACTTTGGTGGGAGGGAGATTGTGAGTGGATCTATTGGTCTGGCAAGGCAAGATCATGTCATTAAGGAGAAAGTCAAGCCTATAGATCCAATGGAGATGGATGGACAGAAGGCTAAGTCATTTGTCAGTCAGTCTACACCAAGAAATGATAGCGTGAGGGGTCTGAATGGTGTCGGATCATCATTAACCCGCACTGAGAAAGGGACCACCTTACCTGCTACGCAGATAGGCAGTGTAGGTCAAGAAGAAGCAGAGATCCAGAACACCCCAGGGGAAGCCAAACCAGGCCAGGAGAGGCTGGGGAACATCTGTGTTTGTGGAGAAACTGGGATATCTGTGCAGAGAACAAAATGTGGAGCCACTCTTTGCTCAAAGTGCTTGGACACGGTACATGTCCGCTGCAGAGTTTGTCACGAGACGGAGCAGAAACCTCGGGGCATCCTGGGCAAAATTGTAAAATCTAAACTAAACATCACTTTGCCAAGTTACAACAAGTTCTGTACTATCAAGATCACTTACAGCATTCCCGATGGTATCCAAGCGGTGAGTGGCTTAAAAACATTTCTCGCTGATATTTCGTTGTGCTTTATCTGAATGAGAAATTACATTGGCGCACCTTCTAAGCTTTCATTTCAGAGACTACAAATGAGACAGAATAAGAAAGGCTGCTCAGTTAGGACCTTTTCTTAAATCAGTTTAAATAGTTAAATTCATATTAAAGCGTTATGATTTCTCTAATTTTAAGTATTAGTTTGTTGTTTACCTGTGTTTTAGTTGACTCCTACAGGGTGTCAAGAAAGAATTAGCTAAACTTCAGAGGCATATTCTGATTCACATTGTTGCTATGAGTCCATATATGTGTGTTTCCTGATCGGCTGAGATCTGCAGATATCAGCCAGTATTCATTATTTTGTTGTTAAAATAAAATAGGCTGCAGTTACAATTCTGACCTTCTCCTGCAAAATAGCATGCAGCTATAGGCTGCCTTTCAGCTTATACACTGCAATACCGAGACCTTGTTCATGACTGCGCTCTTTGTCTTGCGTTTTATCAGGATGGGCATCCATCCCCTGGAAAACCATTTAAGGGAGGGCTATTTGAAGCCTACTTCCCAGACTGTCAGCCGACAAAGAAGCTGCTGCCCAGGCTGGAGAAAGCCTTCAGGCAGGGACTCACCTTCACAGTGACAGGCAAAGGGACAGATGCGAGGGTGACCTGGGACGGCATCCCACACAAGACCAGCTTACAGGGAGGCAAATCAGGGTGAGTGAAGCCAGCGAGGATGTCTGAGAGAGCTGCAGAATTAAAGGTCATAGTCAGTCCATGGACCTGACCTGAACAATGTTCTCTTTGTCTCTCTCAGGAATGGGTACCCAGATTCCACTTACTTGACGCGCTTGTCTGAGGTCTTGACCTCCCTTGGAATTGAGGAATCAACAGAAAAGGCCCATGATTAAAACATGTAAAAAATGTATTTTTTCCTCGTTTTATATATAAAAATAGCAGTATATTGGCGATCTTTGTGTTTACAGCACTGTTTTGCGGTTTTGATTAGTTGACAATCACACTGCTTTGTTATAGTGAGATGTTAATATCTGATCATCCTTTAATTGTAGTCTCTTTTAAATAATGGAGTCATTGAAGACTGAATTTTAATTTTGTAACGTCCTTTACCAATTTTCTTTTAACAAGTTGTTCAAGAGTGAAGGGCCTATAGTATTTCACATGACATTTAAAAAAAAAAAAAAAAATACCATTTCAGGTTATTTTGCAGAACAAATGAATATTAAAGTCTTCAATATGCACAGTACTGTATAGACCAAAAAATTTGCACCGCACTGTGTGATTGTAGTCATCATTTAGTTTAGGAACAACAGACAGTAATTTGTAAAATATTCTGAATTTAATAAATTAATTGTCAAAAATCTGTCTTTGCTTCTGGGCACAGAAATAAAAAAGCACATTTCCTGTCTTTTTTTTTTATTATGCTTTTTTTTATTAGTCCTGGAAAACATGTAAGGCATATGGTAACATTACACACTGAAGCGTTACAAGCTCTAAAGGCCATGTGGAGAACATGGCACCACGCAGTAAACCCAGAGTCAAGCACAGAAGCAGCATCAATTCAAAGGGTTTAAAAAACAAAGTTGAGACGAGAAAGTGTGTTTGCAACCATTTAAAAACAAAGAAGGAGAAAAAAAAAAGAAAAGAAAGAGTCTCTGTCCTTTCTTGTCCAAAACAAGACAAGAAAGGACAGAGTATAGGAAATATAGAAATCAACCTGTTGGGTATGCCTTGTAGAAAGTTACCAGCGGTCACTGACAGGTGTGGAGTAGGATGGATGTGAAGTGGGTTTCTGAAACATTCCCAGAGATAGGTTAAGATGTCTTGTAAATGTACCAGCTTGCCATGGAGGTTCCCATGCTGAAGGGTCTCAGGTGACGCAGGGGGGCAGCAGGCTGGCATTCTCCTCTCTCACACACCACACTACTACATGACTACTAAACTAATGTGAAAGACACAGAACGGTACATACACACATGCTTTATTTTGTTGTTGTTGTTGTTGTTGTTGTTGACTAAACATCCATTCTAGTATTGTACATGACACGCCCAGCCAGGTTGTACTTCCTTAGCATCTCTGCAATGCAGCTGCATTGCAATATCTCAAAAACGACTGCTAAGGATAATAGCTGCAGGCAGATGTGGTCGTTTGAGTTCGTAGTGTAGCGAACACAGTGGCTCTGACTGTGGAACTAAGCCACTTTCATCCTCCCTTTTTTGACTGAGAACACTAAAGCTTACATAAAATGTGAGTACTGTGAAGGAAAATTGGTGTGACAGTTTGTGCAGTTAACTCAGTGAAACAATGATGTGTGTGTTAGTAAATTCAGATTTAAGTGGGTTCCTACATAGGGAAAACTGCTGTTCGGAATGACCTGAGAAACCATATAGAAGAAATAAATCACCACAAAGCTGAACGGTGGGTGGCTGTGAGGGACTACAGCTTCAAGCCAAGACGGATAGAAAAGTAGCTGCTGGAAATACAACACTCACTGTACTCACTTTCTTTAGATCTAAAACTATGAGTGACAGTATAATCAAATTTAAAATGTTCAAAAAAAAAAAAACACTTTAATTTTTTTGGAAAACTTTGAAATACTTTTTTTTTGTCCCTCCCTTGCATCTCTGAGTTGTTAAGTACTCTTGCATAAGTGTCTGGAATGACTGGGAAACCATTTCAAGATGAGATTACAATTCAGCTTCACCACGGTGGAAAAGCTCTCAGGCTGCAGGCCACAGTAGGAAGGGGTGGGTTTTACTTTAACCGACGGATCCACTTGAACCCGAATTCAAGACGCGAAACACCCACCCCGCTGATTGACTGAGTTCATGTCAAAGGCATCTCAGTTCAAAATTCCCCCGGGGAAAATGTTGAAAGAAAAAAAAAAAAGAAAAGGGATTTTAATCTGTTTTCCACATGCAGATGAATGCATGCAATTTCAAATTCCAGATGTCAAAGTAACGCTCTATTTTCTTTGAATGTGTATGCAGGAGGAAGAGGCTGATATGGAGAGGAGTTTTTGGCTGGCTGCTGGACTGCAACTGTTGCACCGGCCAAGAGGTTTTGCAGATGCAGCACAGGAAAAGAGGAAGGACTCTTAATAATCCTTGAGTGAACTGAGATCAACTGCAAAGCGGAAATGTTGTGTCTGGGGCAGGCCAGAACTGAGCTATGATTAGCCAATAAGCAGAGGCTGTGCTCAGCTGTGTTACAGTACTGGCTTCCCTGCACAGCTGTGTAAAAAACATCTGGTCCCTCACTTGTTATACAAACCATTTTGGAAACAAACTGAAAGAAAATAAATCCATAGAGAGGAATAGCACAGAGCGTTGGAGCTGGGGGAAATTTGCAGATTTACGACCGTCTTTTGGTGTGGTGGAGTTTTGAGTCTTAAATCCACCATGTTTTGTTCCTCTTCACTGTATACTGATGTTATAGCTGTAAACCAACAGAGGGAATCATCCTATTGGGGCTGATATGATGTGAGACCTGGTAAAACACAGCGAAAAGCATTTACTAAATACATCTCAGATTGAGGTAAGGAGAGGCACAATACAGGCCGATGCTTCAGCAAGACTACAACCAATCACCAAATACAGATTGTGTTAAACCTTTTATAAACTGCAGCAAAATTCTGTCAGCACCTGTGAGCATTTTGGGATATAAATCTGACACAATGTGACAACTTGTGTGAATTTTTCTTTTTTTCTCTCTTTTCTTCAAGGTTGACGGAAATGCATCCAACAACAGAATTTTCTTCATATTTTTTTATGCACTGTTAATATTCAAAGCATGGACAGAGGAATATACATACAATTTGGCACACATGGTTTAAACCAACAGAAAGACTTTATCACATTTAAAGAGGAGTGCAGGTTGGCAAGTCCCCACATAAGAGTATGAGCTTTGAACTTTAAACCCTTGGATAACAAAAAACAAACAAACGAACAAAAATATAAAGGTAAATCAAAAATAACATAGTAAGTAAAACATCTTTTTTTTTTTTTTTCTCATTTCAAAACTGAAGCGTTTGTTTCTCACATGGCACTCGGAACAGAAGCACCGTCCACAGGTTCACAAAGGGAGCCCAGCAGATTAGAACAGAACACTAACCAGAGGCTGACAGGACACAATCACTCCCCACACCAGCGTGCCGGTCGCACTCCAGCCCACGTCGCTCGGACCTGCTCCGCGTTTTACTTCCCACAGTCAAGGATGGATGAATGCTTTGATTTTAGCTGCCACCCAGGAGAAGTTGGCAAGCTGAAAATGAGGGGACTTTTACATGAGTTTGTGTGTTTCTGTGTGTGTGTGTGCCACCTGTGCTTTCAGTGAGCTTTAGCAGATACAGTGGGAGCGCATGATGGGAAATGGGCTGCAAACCTGGAGCAAAATCAAAGGCTGTGCTGGACTGGAGTGAGACCGCCATGCTTGCAAGTGCATTAAGATCAGCGAGCAGAGTGCAAAATACTAATACCAACTGTCCTCATAATACAGGCCTCTTATCAGAAGGAGGGAGAGATAGAGTAAGATGTGTTGGTTGGTTTCAGAGCTACATCGTACTGTAGCAGAGTAGTGTAAGGAGGGAACGTCTGGTAGGAGTTTGGGGGGGGGTGCTTTTAAAACCTGACAAATGACCTGAGGACACACGCACATCTTCACACATAATGGCACACCACACACAGCACATGAGGGAGGCCACTCATGCTAACACAACAACTTTTTTTTTCTCCGTTTTTTTGGAAACATTTTTTTGTTTTTGTTTTTGTTTTTTTTTACAAAGTCACTAGTCACCATCTGAGTCTCGACACAGAGGCCAGACTCACAGACAGGCAGTGAGGCGGGCAGGTGGATAAATAGTCAAGGTTTAAAGTTGATTGACTCAGACGTGAAGGATTTGGCGCGATGAAATATGAAGGACTGGCCTTGAAGGGATAATTCACTCTCCAAGAAAAAGAAAAGAAACAAATTTAGATGGTCTCAGTGCCCAGTTTTCAAGAGACTGGCTGTAAAGGTGTCTAACTTCTCTTGAACACAGTGAAACTATATGGCACTTGCCTCAGGTGCTCAAATGAAATGCATCTGAACAGCTCAGCAGCAGTATCTTTTTCCAGGAATCATGGCCCAGTTATGCAAACAAATCCACAAAACTTGAGAACAGCAGACTAAAAGAAGAGTGCAGCTGGCTGTGCAAAGTAGGAAGCTATTAATCTAACCACTTGGTTGTGAGCATGAGCTTCTTGTCATGGGCAGATTCACTCTTCCTTTTGCACAGAGTCATGTGTAGTTTGAGGAAAATAGTTTGACCACCTTAAAGCAAGTGCTGTCCAATTTCATCATATTCAAGAGGAGGCAGACATCGCTCTATCTCTATATAGAGTCTTAAAGGCCTAAGCCTTTAAGACTCTATGCTTCAGCTCCTCATTCTCAATACATTTTACACCTGTTGAAGTACGTGTCGACAGCACCAACTGTTGGCAAATGTAGACTAAGAAAGCAGAAAGAAGAGACTCTGGGAGAGGGGGAGAAACAAACCACAGTGCCATCTCTGACGAGCCTGACGCCTGTTGCTATGCCGACCATAGAGAGGGAAGTGGAAAGAGGAGGGAGAGAGTGGAGTAGTGCAAGTGAGAGAGAGAGAGCAAGAGAGAGGAGAGAGAGAGGGAGAGAGAGGAGAGAGAGAGGGGAGGGAAGGCAAAGTATGGACGCCAGCTTGAAGTGAATTCTCCTCTCTCAGGTCAGGATGATCGACAGGCGAGTGGTCGCTGTGAAAGGAGCCATGGAATTCCTCAAGGAGGAGTGAGGAGGAAGAAAGCCTTATCCAGAGTGAACTAAAAACTAAACTGGTATTCACCTTCTTAACTTGCTCATTTCAGACGATTCGCTATCTCAACATGACAGTGCTTCATTCATCACACTCCGAGAGTGTATGTTTGTGTGTGTACTTGTTTAAACAGAAACAAATTCTCCCTTAATTGGCACTGTGCACTTCTTGCCAACAGTTGGTCAGCTAGAAAAATCTGTAACTAAGGAGAAGGAAGCTGAGCAATGATTTCTGCCTCTCTATTCAACGTTGGACTGAAAGGCTCATTATGAGGCAAATTCATATTCAGGCTAGTGCAAAACCGCAGACTCTATATTATCTTCACTTAATTTGGTGGGAACGAATGCATTGTTGAGAGGTTTTCGCCTTGCTTTATATGAACACCGATACAAGCTTCGAGCTAAGTCCACATAAATGACAACCAGGGTTAGGTCTTGCAGTATTAACACTATTGTCTGAGCCATAAAACATCATGATAAAAGCCATGATGCAAATATCTCCAGAGGAGGTGCACCAGCCAATCACAGGCATCTCTGACTCATCCTTGGTGACATAACTAAGCGTTGGACACTGAGAGCAACGTGTGGGTGGGTGTGGTTCTCTCATTTTACTGCCCGTCTTTGTGCCTGTCTGTGGGTCCGGCCTGAGGGTGGGTGGGCAGGGGCGGTGGTGTGGGAGGTGTGTGTGTGGGGTGGGGGCAGGGTGGGGACTCAGCACAGTGAGGGGATGGGGAAGCAGAGGTGGCAGGTGGAAGTCAGAGCAGAACAATTTAGCACAGTGGGAGCTGAGGTGCAGAGGGGCACGGGGTCGAGGGTGGGGCCGGCGTGAGAGCGGGGATTATTGTTGTCAGGGAAACAGTAATTTGCCCCAGGCCTGGACCGTACCCACAATCCTCCATGGTCCTTCTGTCTCTGCCATTATCGTTATGTTTTTGTTTTTTTTTGTTTTTTTTGGCCGTTTCCGCTCAATGTCAGAGAGGAAGATCGGTTCGGAGCTTCGATGTGATCAGAATCTTTAAGACATAAATGCAAGAAAAGGAAGGGAGGGGGAGGTGGGTGGAGCCAGGTCTGAGTAATCGCTGTCATTGTGGACCCAAAAGGTGATGGAGAGGGGATGTGAAAGACTGACAATGCTGTGATCATTTTCTAATCCATCCTTCTAACCCATTCCCATTCTTACTTCCCCCCCAACCCCACCCCATCCATCTAAATTGCCAAATCCATCCCCACAATCCCACACCACACCCGAGATCCCAAGACACAAACTCCCTGCTGGTCTGCTTGACTATCCATCCATTCAACCCTCTCACTTCTCCTCCTTCTTGGGTTCTTCCTTCTTCTCCTCTTCCTTCTTCTCCTCCTTCTTGGGCTCCTCCTTCTTCTTGTCATCCTTCTTGTCATCCTTCTTCTCCTCCTTCTTGGCATCGTCCTTCTTCTTGTCGTCCTTCTTCTTATCCTCTTTCTTCTTATCCTCTTTCTTATCCTCCTTCTTGGTCTCCTCCTTCTTCTCTTCCTCGGGCATCGGCTCTGTAGTGAGGATCACTTTGCCGATGTTGTTCCTTTCCTGCATCTTTCTCATGGCATCACCCACCTGGAGGAGAGAGGGAGAAGCTGATTATTTAAGGCGAGATGAAAGAGCAAATAGCGAAAAGGATCAAAGGGAAGCTTTTAAACAGTTCTCTTTGAGACAGAAGAAGCTAGTATCATCCCTCCGAAAACATTCCCACAGCAATATGTGTTTCTTTACATTATCTGCCTCCAATTTCCCTTCTTGACACCACAGCCTGGAAACAAATATTGCAAGCTTGCTCTTCAAATATGACTTTAATATGCAGTATATGAGAAATTATATTTGTTTAGATGAGACTTTAATAATCTTTGAGGGGAAATGAGATTGTTGTAGCAGTGCACAGCAAATAAGAAGTGGTAACAGGATAACGGAGCAAATGGAGGGAATAATGAACACTTCAAACATGCATTATTTAATATCAGTGTCTTAAGTATAAAAATAGTGAATGTTTTAATGATAGGCCAACTAAAATCAAAATCACTTTTTGCTTCATTTCATCAAATTCACCCCCCCACAATATTAAGATGTTCTAATCACTACGCATTAGGAAGGAAGTAACAGATTTCCTCAAGAAGACGGAGTGTAATGCTGGTTTTCGAACCTGTGTTCAGTTTTGTAAGTTTAAAAATGTAACTTCTGCAAAACAAATTTGTTTTCTTGAGTTTATATTGCATTTACCTTTCGAGACAGTGCCCACAATGAATTAATGAGTCAGTAAATCAACAGACAGCGAGGAATCTTATCACATACGCAATGTGAGCTATGTCAGCTTTTGGTTGTTGTGCATTTTCCACTTGATGTACCAGTAACCGACCACTTTAATTATATGATACAAAATCAAGGTAAATCTATGGTCTTTGCGATGCTTTAACAGTTTGAGATTAAAAGATTCACAGGTAATTTGTCACAGTTATTAAGATGTACTTCAAAATTCATCCACTGTGTTATAGTCCTGTGGATATCCTGTATGCATGGGTAACTTGAGCCATTCTGGTTTCCATTTTTTATCTGAAGTTGAGGCAATATGGACCTTTTGAGTAGGCTTTGATTGCATGGAAGTAAGTAGTCTGTGTTTAAAGCAAAAGAGGGAATACTTTGCTAAAATGCAAACTTGAAGCCACTGGCTTTCAACTGATGACAACTTAGGTATTGCTTTTTAAAATTTAATCTACATTTATAACATTCATTAGCTTCATAATAGCTGATGGCTCTACTACAGCTCAGCTTGGAAATATTGTGCAAGGAAACTTTCCACTAAAAATACATTTTGCAGTAAAACTTTCAAAGTATTGTGTAATTCAGATTGCTGAAGCGTTAAGCCTAAACTTAAGAACTGATTTTCTTTCCTAAGACCAAGGATTGAGGATTTTATGCTCCATCACTTCAAGTAAAATTGCTTTTAAGAAGAGATTTCTTTGCTGGCTAGAATGAACAGGATTATAGTGACCAAAAAATGTGGTACTGTAGAATTTGGCATGTCATTCTTATTGAAAGGTTGGCCTGGAAAAATGTTACACCGTCCTATTGAGGTGCTTATTGGGTTAAAATGATTAGAAAAAAGAAGAAGTATGAAGTGGCAAATCTGATATTTATGAGATTTTCTTTCCAAAAACTAAATATTTCACGTTGGGGACAGACGAGATTACAACCCCCAGGCTCCCCTCCTCATATTGATGGATGGGCGATGTTGGTCTTACTGCTCCTTCATCATAATGATGAGTGGAGAATCCCAGCCAGACTGGCCCCACCCTCCTCTTGACCACTGGCCTCTGTCCACTGTCTGTTCCCGTCTCCATCACATCTCCCTCCCTCCTTCCTCCAATCTCGCTATTTGCGCGAGGCAGGCAGACCACCTAACGACCAATGCCACGGCAACAGGGCCATCTCCTAGCAACGTAAAGCCTGGCTGAAACGTGGCCCTGACGACTTAGACACATGGGAAAGGGAGAGGAGGAGGCGGAGGGAGCAACTGGTATCCCACAAATGAAGAAGAGGCAATGAAAGAAAGGGAGGGGTGAGTCCAGGAATTATAAGAATCATCTTCGATGTGAATGAAAGTCACAGACTGCCTCCTTTTAACGACTCCACCGACTTCTAGGCTTCACTCTCTAAGATCTGCCAACCTCTCTCACTCACAGGCATCTTGATAAGGGTGTGCTATTTGTGGCTACTTACATGACCATTATCTTCTTGGAAATCGGTGCAGATGTAGATAATGAATCCTGAGGAACTACAGGAAAGGAAGGAACAGTCTAATTTACAAAAAACATGGTCCTAGCATGTTCATTGATTACTGGAGGAAAAACAAAGAGTGACAGTGGGGGGATGGGATGTGATGAATGGGGTCAAGATGTGGCATTTCAACCGAGGTCATAAAAATCGATCAACTATCTGTCATGGTCTGCTGTGTCATTCGTTTTTCCATGTCTCTTTTTTTTCAGTTAACTCCTCTTATTTGTAAGTTTCTGTTGTGTATGTGTCCATTTTATTTTGTGCCTTTATTATTTTTTCCAATATTTTTATGGTGTGATTTGCCTTTTTCCCCTCGCCTGTTGATTGCCATCCTGCTCTACTTTATGTACTTTTAGACCTGTTTTACTTAGAATTTGTGACTTTTCCCTCCCCATTTCTGTCGGCGACTCCCCTTTTTTTCCTCCTCCTGTTCGGAAATTTTTATCCAATAAGATAAAAGTTTTCTCAGTTCTGTTATTTATTTTTTGCTGCAAAATGAGACTGAAGCAAACCAACAGTGTCACTAAAACCTGTCATAAATGTTGCCATGCGGTCATGTTTTTAATTAACAGTGATAAATTATTATAAAAATCCCCTAATTTTTCTTCTCCAGAAATAAATTGACATTTGAACTCAGCAACCTGTTCTATATGAGTTTATCCTGGTTACAACCTGGCAGCCATTTGAGTCGAGTTCCCTCAAGTTGTGCTCAGTGACAAAGAGTCATCGGTTTGCATTTATAAATTATTTAAGCAAATATATGAAACCTTTGACAACCACAGAGTGATTGCAGTCAGTCCAAGTCTGACAGCAACTGTTTGCAGAAAGGTTGCCTCCTATCAAGTGACCTATGTAATCACGATCACTGGCGTAACACCTCCAAGCTCTGGACAATTTTAACTTGCATGACTGAGCCATTAGTTTGCTGAGCTGATTGAATGTAAATTTGCTCGAGTTACATGATCACGGGATTGTGGCGCATGAGGTGAGCCCTCTTGTTCATCGTTTTCCCAGAGTATTTTTATTTATCTAATAAAATAAATGGACTCCCTGTATTTCCACGTAATTGCCACATAAAATATCAGGATACTAAGCTGTATTGATTTCTTTGCCCCAAACCTTAACTTTAATGGTCTTCTCCCTCCATCTGTAAATTAATTAACTTAATTATATACTCTGCAATGCATCTTCTGCCTTGGTGGCTTGGTTTGAAAAGTACACTAAAACATAACCGTATTAACCCACAGCTTTTACTTCTACTAGCAGAAGGGTGACTGGCTACGTTTACATCTTCTGACTGAAGATTTCAGGTCAGCTGTTTACATGGAATGTGATTTAATATGGTCTGAGTTTTACATGCATGGATGCACATACACTAAACTGGGACAGTGTAACATGCATAAGAGTAATAAACAGAGTCATTTTCACTCAAACTGCAGCCCTGAATTTTTACAGGCATTACCCAGGAAAGAACATTGGACAGTTGGATTGGACATTAATCGGCATTTGACCTGCCAGCTCCCTGGTCCCGTGATACTCCACTGTGCCATTGTAAGATAGCCAAAAGTAGAGTGAATGTACAGCAAATGAGCGAGAAGGCATCCAAAGCACACCATAACCTGCTTCATGCCAAGTACGAGTAATGATCCAACTGGTTTCTCCTAGCATTAAGTTCTTGTGAAAGTTCTTATCCCTTTGATGGGTGTTGGAGCAGCTCTCTGATCTGAAGCAGTTTCCATTATTATCTTCTTTAAAATCAAACTCCACGTATGGCCAATTCAGCTCAAACCACCATTTTTACAAAATTGTAAAAAGTGTTTACCACCTTTGTTTAGAAAAAAAAAAAGGAATTGTTTATGTGGTATATTTTTTTTTACATTCTGATCAGTTTATGAAAAGGTCCCACCCTATGCAACCATTTTAAATTTCAGTCAGTTTCAGCCGTTTCATATTTCTTTGTGTGGAGCTTTTAAACCTTTCAGAATCATTAGGCTTCATGTAAATCTAACCCATGTTTGCAGACTTAGTCCAAAAACTTGCTCCAAGCCAGACAGAGATTATACCTTCTCTTCTGTGTATTTCCACTCTCCTTCCATGTCTCTTTCTCATACATCAGGGCCCCTCCCTAAGACAGAGGCACACGCTGACTAAAGGATGTCACCATAGCAACAAGAGAGAAAGAGCAAAAAAGATACACTGTGAGGAGGGAGAAGGAGAGAATACAGCGAGACAGAGAGAGACAGAGAGGGAGTCAATAACCTAAAGACAGAGAAAAAGAATCTGATAGAAAGAGCAGACAGATGGAGAGGCAGAGAAAGAGCGTCAGATGGCGGAGAAAGGCAGCGGGTGTTTCTCTCCGGTCCCAGTCACACAGCCAAAATACTGACCAGCTCTGACTTTGACAACAGAAGATGTCAGCCTCCGACTCTCTCTCTCTCTCCGTCTATCTGTGTTTTTCACACCATCTCTATTCATATCTGTTAGCAGCGTTAATTTTGTCAGCAACAATCTGAGTCTGTCTGTCTGACTGAGACAGAGCGCTTCTTCTGCACAAACTTTGGCTGTTGAATGGGAGGCTTATTGAATCACGGCCACACCCAGCTTCTGCAGATCCTACCACCAAATGCATAAACAGACACAGGCCCACCTGGCATTCACATCCATTTTAAGAAGGGGGGGGTTGTAAATGTGAGTCAATAAGCATATATATTAGAGGTGTAAATGCACCCGTGTTGTGATAAATCATCTGGTCTTACAAAAAAAGAAAAAAAAGATATAAAGGACATGAAATGGAAACGGTTTAGTGGCAAATTTGGCAAAAAAGGAAAACCACTGCACATGTCTTGTAAAATACAGAAGATTTTCTATTATTAATGTAAGTTTTGAAAAAAAATTGATGAATTTCTGCTAAATTGTAAAGATTAGCAGAAATTCATCTAAAATATAATTTAGATTAACAAATGAACTAAATAAATACAAGCCATTACATTTATACTAAATCAATGTAATGTCAAAAATTCTAAGGCTACAATGTAATAGTCCCTGCAATGACCTAATCTACTCAACTACACTGACCACTTTAAGCAAAATTTCAAAAAACAAAAAAAATAACAATGATGTAATCTCATAGTATTTAACCGATCATAGCCTCTACTTATAAATTTATTTTATGTGAGAATAAAGAACGTAATCCACCAAGACATAATCCACATGAGACTAATAGTAATTACTGGCATAAATGGGCAAACACAGAGACACAAACCTGCTCAAGATGCCAAGTAGAGTCAATGCGGGGTTTGATTTTGCCGTCCTTGTAGAAATCCAGAATGGTATTCATTGCCTCGGTGATGAGCTCTGTCTCCCCATCTAGGTAGCCAAGGTGGAAGCCACACACCGACTTGTTTCCCTGAATCAAGCTGAGTGTGTGGATGGAGAACTGGTGGTACCAGTTCTTTGCCACAGCAAGCAGGTTCTTCTTTTGCCCTGCCAGCATGTTAGCCGCTCCTGGCAGAAAAAGTAAGAGCTTAAATCGCTTATCACTGGAATAAAAAGCTTAAGAAAGACTTTCAACTAGAAACGAACTTAGAGCGGGCCAGCTACACACCTGCAGTCAAAGGTTTTGTGACTACCTTGAATTCATGAAACACAGACTACTCAAAACTCTTTGTGTTGGCTCCTACCATTGAACTGTTATTGAGGCTGGCAAATTTATATGTCTATAGATATTAAGATATATAATATGGGGAGTTGTAAATAGATGGGGAAGGAACTGGAACCCTTTATTCTGCACTCTTTTGTTAGACCACACCCATTTTCAAACGACACCTCAGTTTTGATCTCAACTTCTCATCTTCATCCTAATATTTATTTTTCCACAGACAGAAACATGCATGCATGCACGCCTGCCAAAATAGTCTAAATCTTCTTTGTGGTAGTAATAATACAGTATTTTCTCCAGGACAAAATTTTGCCATGAGATTCAATTATGAAATTTCCCAGTCCCCCACCAACTTTCTCAGTTTTTTTCATTTGCAACAGCTTTACCCACCTGATAACCTATTTACATCTTAGTGGTGAACGACCCACTCTATTAATGAGCAGAAAATTGTACGACAGATAATTTTTTGTCAAGTAATTTACACAAAAAGATCACAAATGTTTTTTTTTAACTGGTCTTTTAGTGTGGAGATTTGCCGTTTTGGCTGTTTTACGTCACTGTAAATTGAATATCTCTGTCAAGCGTCAAGTGCTGCACCTTGTTATATCGAGTTTGTTGTTTCCCTTCTGTCTCCCCCTCAGTCCTCAAACTCTCACCTACACCTTCCACCCTAAAAAAAACCCCTCTTTAGCACTTCAGCTGTCACTGTCAACACATCCCTATTCCCCCTCATCCTGCGTTCATGTAGCCTATGGCCTCACACTGTGTGAGCTTTTCTCAAGGGAAACAGGGGACACAAAGCATGCTCTGACAGAAAGAGGGACCCAGTCTGCTACATTCAGACACATTCCAGGTTTCTTGCGCATAAAACACTCATTGTTCGGCTATGCATACTTCTGATAAGCTGGAAAAGAAGCTGAGGGAGAGGATGGTGGGGTGGAGCTGGAGGGTTTTGTGGGGGTGACATGGATGAATGGGCGAGGGTGGAGGGCACCATGCTGGGTAGTAGGTTTCTGAGCAACATGCAAAGGGAGCACCCTGTTCTCCGTGGATGCCGACCCCACCCACTGCATGTATACTGGTTCGAGTTTGGCATCTCAACACAGCTAGTGTAAAGGGCTTCCCACGAATGACACGCAGCATGCCGATGACATGGGCCTCTATTCTGCCCACCACTCTACTAGTCTGCTACAAATTAAAGGTTTGACATCATCAGTGTTATATTGGGTATATTGTCTTTTGTTGATGTGCTTTATTTCAAGCTGTAGAGTTGCAGTTAAAAAAAATGAAGTAGTAAATTGAAGCCTTAGCATTCCTACTAATGTTACATGACGCTATAATAGGGTCACCAACAATTATAATGGCCAACATTTTGGTTTAGACCTTAAGTTTAAAAAAAAAAAAAAAAAGATGGCCACTAAATATTATAGTTAAAGAATTACAGGCCAAATTATTGGCCTGTTCTTCCAAAGCAATGTTGTGGATAGCTGTCTCGTGAAAATTACCAACTGACTCTCAAGCATTGGCCTTGTTTTTCTACTTACCATAGGTAATAAGTTTGCCCATAGGCTTCAGCAGGTTGTAGGCCTTATGGGTATCTGATCCTCCAAGAGGGTCCAGTATTATGTCCATGCCTGGAGGAGAATAGAGAAGAAAGGGACAGTCATCACTGGTGTGAATTCAGAGAGAACAGCCTGCCAAGTCTCCTCAGCAGCCACCTCTGCATGGCAGAGTTCACTGGGAGTAGCAAGTGTGGCCAAGTTGCACCGTGTTTACACAGAGACGAGCCCATATATTCCAAGAGACGTAAGAAGAAGAGTCGAGTAAGGGCCTGCTTGTTTGATGTTCTTTCATTCTTGTCACTGATCAGACCAGAAGGATAAAATGACTTTCTGTTGCTGTCCATTCCTTGGAGGATAGAATAATAACCTACCCTCTGAACAGATGGTAAAGGATGGCAATCTAACTATGAAGGTTTCTTTGTGGCTTATTAATGGTGAACTATATAAGCTCGGGCCTAATGATGCTCCTTTCCGCCAGAGGGGACTCCTCAAATTGGGCTACCCCTCCTTGCTCTATTAAACCCTGCTTTTATTGATTGTGGGAGGCTCACAGCAGGACTCCGCCTTGACCACAGCACACATAAATTGACAGACAGCCAAAGACACAGAGGGAAAGGTAGAGAGCAGGACTGCACATTGATCCAGGCTTCTAATTAGATACATTGTGTCCAAAGTGTCAGTTCTCGCTATCTGTCTCTGTAATGCCTGTCTGTCTAACTCTATGTTACAAAGAACAGAGACGGCCTGAAGAGGGGACTATGAAATGAGCCACCAGCATAATAACAGTCTCCATCCTGCTAGGATCACAGCAGTAGTTGGAAGGAGAAACAGGAACTGAACATTGTTTCATTTTACTGAAAAGCTGAATTCTTTTGTGCTCATCTTGGCGAGTCCATCTACATAAAACTGTGTGGATACATTGTTGGTGGCAGTGAGAATCCAAACAGTCACTGTTTAGTGAAATGAGTTTGCTGGGTAGGGAAAATGACTCCCTACATGCTATCCGTCTAGTGCACATTGCAGCCAGCTCTGTCGAGAAAGACAATGTGGTTGAAAATGTATCATCTCAGTGTTTGCAGTCACACAGTTCTGGTTCTTGGCAGGGAAAAATATTAATCTGAACTATTTGAAATATGAAACAGTCTCAATATGAATTTAGGCAACTTTAACAGTGCAGATGGCTAATTTTCTTACCTTTTGGACTGATCTTGCGGACTTCCTCCACATAGTCCTTGGTGCGATAGTCAATGGCATGCGTAACTCCACCCTGGGTGATGGTCTCATGTTTACTGGCTGAAGCAGTGCCAAACACAGTCACATCCTTCACTGTCTTGCACAGCTGAGTAGCTGCAATCCCCACACCACCTGAAGGAAGACAAGAGTTAATTTGATATGTGAAATCATGCACTGCGAAAAACACGATTTGTAATGAATTCTAGTGCAAACTCTATTTGGCATGGATTTATAACCAACTTAATCTTACAAGGCGACACCCTGAACAAAACATACCTCAACACAAGCATCTAGGAATTTCCATTCTGCACATACTTATGGCAGGTTTATGTGATTTTAATTATTAATTCTCCCAAACAAGCGAGTCAATATCAGTGTGAATGTGTTTTGCTCAGGGGTATGTAAGGAGCGCATTAAACACAATCACATTAACCCAGCTGGCCTGGGGTGAATAGACACCCACGTCTGGAGAAAGTAGCCATTGTAGCTCAAATGACATCTAATTTCTGGTTCTCTTATTTGAAACAACCTGTCAAAAATGCCAAAGTCAAAAAAAAAAAGTAGCTCAAGTTTTTTTCCCCCACCATTTGGAAAATGACAGTTGGATTACAAATGACATAGTCCCTTATGATCATGTCAGATGAAAACAAAAAGGGCTCCACTGTCCAAGACTTTAAAGACAGATTGGATGTTTTGGATATCTGTGTTTTTTGTCTGCTGTATTCCAAAGTGTGTACATAGTTGTGGCAAAAGCCTCTGCCAGTGTTTGCAAAGGCAACCAGCGCAAGAAGTAATAGGTTACTGATAAGCAGTGGCTTGTTTGAAATAGGGCCTGACTTGAGGACTTGAACTGAAAGGCATCCATAAAGGTCATTCATGCCTGACCAAGTAAAGAGTGCATCTTATCTGAATCAGAGAGTAAAGCAAAACATGTATTTAAATAACAAACTTTTAATTGCATAGTTGGGTTGCCTGTCTGCTAGAAAGGTTTGGAGTAGATGAATAATTTGCATGCTTACATAGACATCTACGCTTAAATATTTAGTAGACTATGCAAGATCAAGAGCAAGATCATCTTAAAGACAGGAAGACAGAGACATGCATGAGAAGCACACATTTGATTGGCCTTGTGCAAAAGATTAGACTTGTGGAATTGATTGTTGTCAATAAGTTATCTTTACATACAGTGATAAAATGCACACAGTAGCAAAGTGTTTTGAACATGCCGTGGGATGTGTTGTTTTCAGTGCTTTCGATAACGTTGGAATTTTCGTTTCTTCTGTGATGCACAGAGCGAATGTTGTGCATCAGATGACACCGATGCACCTCTGGTCCCTTCATATAAACGTAAAGATTATTCTGAGCCAGTGAACCAGTCTTTTCAGAGCAACGTCTCAGCAGTTCCTCTCTGCGGATGCACTATTGCATAAAAACAGCAAAAAATAAATAAACTGAACCAAGATCTAACGATAGGATTAGGCCCCATTCTCTTACCAGCATGAAAAATAAAATGGTTTGCTTTTACTCCCGTGTTAAAAATAAATGAAAGTTTTGTAACTAAAATGTGTTATAGAGGAGAAAGAATCAGGAAATAAAAGCCGAATTTTTAAAAATTCAACTGCTTCAAAAGCCTTATTTTCAATGTGACGACAAGAAATTCTTTTTATTTTGTGATTGTAATTTGAGGTGAATCAATCACTCTGCATTGCTGTTATCAAGCCTACTGACACCAACTTTATTGAAGGGTAAGAGAATCAAAGCTCTTGCTGCTGGACATGAAACAACAATGAAAGTGAACAATAAACTGTTTTTTTGATACACAGTCATCAAAATCATTCAAGGAGCGTCTTTTAAAGAAGAAAAAAAAAAAGGTAGTTACAGCGAACGGCATATTTAAATTCACAATAATTCCTTTAGTCAGTTCAAAAGACTTAAAACAAACACTGCATGGTTCACAGCAATGATTCTGATCTCATTTTTCTGTTAGACTTGAATCTTTCACAGGGTTCAAAAAGGGTCAAAAAACTTGTAAAGACAAATCCAAATCATTTTCATTTGCTTCCTTCACAAACCTTCATTTCAGTGTAAAGAAAGAAATGTATTCTGTGTTGTTTTGTTGTTGTAAGAGCCTGAGTCCAGGAGAGATGAATCAGCCGCTCTTCGTTACTATAATCACGCCTGCTGACACCGAGGGTACAACTGATGAGAAAACAAAATCGAGGCTGTTGCTGTTGGATGTGAGCGCCGTCACGGCTGCGTTATAACAGCACCGTCTCTCCTTGTCCTCAGTGAGAAACCAAGTTTGCGTTGCCAAGGAAACCTCGGCCAAATTGCCGACAATGACTGAGCAGAGGGAGCCATTTTGTTTCAATAACTGCTCTTGCTTTGGGCAAGTTTGTCATTAGTTCATACTGGATTATAATTAATACGTGATAACAAACAGTTCATCACAAAGCTGCATGCGTGTTTTCGCACATTCGAACACAGCGCAAACATGCCTGCTTGACTTGAGTTTTTGCACTAGTGCACACGCGACCGTTTGTGTGAGGTAGAGGGGAAGGCAGACAAAGTGAGAAATTGTTGAATATGCATTGGCTGTCATGTGGGAGGTTTAAGAGCCGTTTTTAGTCAATGGCTTTGTCACATAGTTGCAACCCACAGGTGTTAAAAAGTGTCCAACATGATGATGCATCCATTTTCCCTGCATACTTGCAGCCATGCACTCACATTAATGTTTAACCAATGCTACTGTAGTAAACATAGTAATTTCCCCTTCTGTTGCAGTAATACATAGTGAGGGGAAAAAAGTAGCAATAAGCGTCTGTTTTAATGATATTGTACACCCATATTTTGATAATGAGAGAAGACAAAATTAGTTCATACTGGCTGGTTACAAATGTTTCCAGTCAAAGAAACATTGTGGCCAATGAGGAGAGGTACCTGTTTCTGAATCCCATGAGAACAAACTCCTGATCCTCCATCACAAGACTCCTGAGCTGTGCCAGAACCCCTTACTGCACCCCATCTCAATTCGCAAACACACACAGACACACACGGACACACACATTGATACATGCACAGATCACAAAGGAGAGAGGAGCGGGGCCATAGCTTTGAAGAGCTCTTAATGGCTGCTGGTATCTGCTAATCTTCACAAATATGCCGAGATTAAAATATTAACCTCTTATTAACCTAGTGCTTTTGCTTGTGTTCCTGAATTATAAGTCTTCCCTTTATATCTATTTCTTTTAACTAAAATAATGTTTCTCGGCAGGAGCAGAGTGTGAATTCATGTTAATTTCGAACCAGCCACAAACACTTATCCATTTGCTCAGGGAAGCAAAAAGCAGCTTAAGTACATTTTTGTTGCTAATTACATTTCTTCTCCTGAAGATTCAATTGAATTGTTTTCACTCGGCGATTAGGAAATGTCAAAAAGCATCCACCTATCTGTTGTGTTCTTCCCTCTCTCCCTCTCCGGAGAAGCTGGATAAACAGTGGGGTTTTTGTCTTTCCCTGAATCCGTACATTCTAACATTCTGGCACAAATTGCACTTGGCTTCCACAATATGAGTTAGGAGTGAAGAGGAATTTTCCCCAAAACACAGTGGAATCCAAACTGACACTGAGGCCACTATTATTGCTCCACACCCAGAGTTCACCAGCAGGGGAGGGTGGGGACATGAGAAATATTTTTCAGATTCATAAAAATAAATAAAATCTCCGCGTCGAGCGTCAATCAACTTTAAAGCCATATCCTTGTCAGCGTTTTGCGTTACTTGCCCAAATGAAGATCGTCTTACACGTCACGGTGTTACTCAATTGTATGGGTCAGTCTGTGATTTCAGGTGTTGGTATGGGGACGGATGGAGGCCGTACGTTTACTGTCAACACCAGAAGATGACTAGTCCCTGGTCCTTGTTTCTTTTTCTGGGATTTCTTCACAGAAGGACTCATGTCCTCCTTAACCTATCATTAGTGGCTAACAAAGAATGAAATACAGGCATCTCTTGTTACCCAGACTCACCATGGCAGGGTTACAATCTCAACAAGTTGAACCAAATAAACTTGTTGAGATTCTTGCTGTTCTTTTCAGCTCTATAATTGAATTCAGATACAACTCCTGTAATGACAAAAGGAGCTGTGGCTGGCTGTTGTTAATGTGTACTTTTGAGGTATTATACTACATTATGCAAACTCTGTGTTTTCTGGAATGACTGTTCTAGTGCGTGTACATGCACTGTGGGCTTGAAGAGCAGTTTAATGTGCTCTCTCTAATGTTGAAATTCTGTGTTTCATACAGGAAATCCACTTTTAGTTACTGTGAGTGAATTTTTAAAAAAAGAAAAAACATCCCTTGCACATATGTGATGGTGGCCCCTGTAATTTCCTGAGTAATGATTCTCACATAGCACTAACATAAAAACAGTCACAGCACAGACCAAATAATAATATGCATGTAAAGGTATAGACATAACCTTCTTTTCTTGTCGCAAAATGGAAACACAAGCTGGCGTGCACTTATTCTGTTTTGCCACACAGATACAGATACGATCACACAAGCAGGTGTCCTGAAAAAGGTTTCACATACACCTGTGACTGTATGTGGTGGTTGGGATGAGGGTAGATGGGGTCATTTGTCAACGGCTACAGCAATGAGAGCGCGAACAAGCAACGTGATTGGTGGGTTAGGTTGGAGGTTGCCCTGGTTTCTCTTTCCTATCTGTGCAGCTGATCTGCCTGCCGGCAACGCCAGGCCCAGGGAACGCAGAGACGGTTCAACCACGCAGCCCAGATTCCCGCTTAGTGGTCAGAGTGAATTAGCATTTGCTAAACTAGGGTACGACCTCCTGCGCACACAGACTGGAAAGAAGAGGAAGGGAAAT